TAAATAAATAAATAAATAAATAAATAAATGTTCACAACAGACACTTTTAGAAGCACAGAAGGCATAGCAAGAAGGAATCTAGATTTTCCTTACAAGTCAGAGACAAGAAAGAATCCATTGTTCTTCCTTGAGGGTTGATAAGACACTAACAGTCTAGGGTTGTTTAAAATAAGAATCTGGGTACAAACTAAATTTAAGATATACAGACTGGATTAATACATGCTAAGCTATGGCTTCCTTAACTGTAGTTTGTTGAATAAATCACAATTGGCTGCGTTAATACATTAGGCTAAGCTATCAACCATGATTACGGTTGTTTTCACATCTCCGATAAGTACAGTGTGATCTGCAAACCATGTCAGATGCTGTTCTTTGCATTAAGGAAACCAGGCTCTTATTTTTTCTTTTACATTTCTCTCTTGTTCTTGCAGTCTAGTATAAGTCCTGGGATGGACCAGATGATGATCAGCTTGAGCATTCTGAAATCCTAGCAGAATGGATCTGCCACCAAGAAAGATTCACGAAGGCTATGTTTTCATGACATACTCAGCATGAAACCTCAGTTACCTGACCAGGCACACCTCACCTGGCTTGGGGTTTTTTGAGGGGGAAAAAAACTATATCCTTCCTTCTTATTTCTCCTCTCTCCCACCCACTAGTTACTGCTCTAGACAAAGAAGTGCATTTAGAGATCTAGGAGATCATTAATGTACCTGCGCATGTCCTGCAGTCTGTCTGGCAGCCCTCACATTGCAGAGGTTCCTTTATCAAGTACATGCCCCGCTGGCATCCTGAAATGCAGTTGTTGTCTACAAGGCTGTAGAAGAAAGCAATGGAGAAAGTTGGTAGCAAAAATGAAAAACTCACCTGCAGCTCCTTGTCATATCAAACAAGGCTAACAACATAGGCAGAAACGAGCATTTCCAAATCAAATAGGGTGTGTGTGTGTGTGTATGTTTGTGGGGGGGGGAATTAAACAGTTCTGCATCAAAGAGAAAACCTTTCTTATTGAAGAAAAAGGTGTGGATCCACATTATTTTGGCCTCTTCTGGGATTCCAAAGAGCAGCAAGCTGGTTGAAAAGATCCAGTGATGACAATGAAGAAAAGGAAACGTTTGGTACTAGAGCTTAGATAGCCAAAAGTCCTTAGGAGAAAGAGTAGCTAAAGACGAGGAGGGGCTGTTAACCCAACAAGCTCTTCCACTAATCAGGAACCAGGATATTGAAAGCATCTCTCAGATCTATGGTCCATTTTCTGGACTTGCACAATATAGGGAAGCACAAGTTAAGCAAATGGCTTTGGTTCATGCAACAAAAACACAAACGCCCCAACCAAGCTTAAAACTAACCAAGTTTAGTGTGTTGTGTAAAGGTAGCTACTAGGTTGGTAAATGATCTGGTTAAGCATATGGCATGAATACAGGTAGACTCTGATGCTTCTTCTCTAGCCATGGGAACTAGAAGCTTAACAGAGAAGAAAGATCAGATCTAACTATCCCTTCTTCTTTGCTCTACAAACCCAACCAACCACTCTGCAAGCATTTACACAATCAGAAACCCCAAACTGCATGTAGTTTAAAACACAAGACCACCAGACTGAACTGTACTCATGGATGAGATGAACCTTAATCTTAGGTGGGTCATCCATCAAGGCCATTGCTTTTCAACTGGTTTGTGAAGATGTTCTTACCTGTCATTACTTTAAGGACTTTCTCAACTGACATTCCCTGCTCCAGATGTGTCAAGACTGTGATTTCCTGCTTCCTAGCCAGCATAGCACATTTGAAGGATGGCAAATGGGGAAAAGCTGCCTTAAGCAAAGTTGAAAATAATGCCTTATGTGTCCACGTGGCACAGCCATGCTGTGTGTGACTGACAGCTGACCCACATGTCAATCTGCCTGCTTTCTTTTTTTAAATAAGAGAAGACAGGAACATTGCTGGCAAAACCTTGCCAAGCTTAAAAGGTTAGCAAACAATAAAAGGAAACACTGTACAGATTGCAGCCAAGGGAAGCCACTTTTACTGTTCCTGTTGTGGATCATCTTTTGGAAACTTGGTAATTTTCTACTTTTGCCCAAGTGCCATTATTGAAGCAGTCACGTCAGTCCAATTACTGTCCTCTAAATGAATCCTGCAAAGAAGCTTTGGGCCTCCTGCTGAACAAATTGTTCAGATCAACCTTCTGGCGTTTGACACTTTTTGCTACATGTCTTTCCTTGGGAAAACTTATCATTCAGGCCCATCCTCCTCATTTCATTTGGAGTTGCCCTGCATCATTTGTTTCTGAAGGCAGCCAAAATAAGTTGCAGCTTTATTGCTGGGACTGGAAGGAGGTACCCAAAGGATTATTAAGACGCAACAGCTTGTGTTAATCTTTGAGCAGCCACTTGCTAAATTCCAAGCACCCTTAGAATTGGGTTGAAGGTCAATGTCCATTGCAAGAGGGTGAGGGTCAAATGTCCATTGCTCCAGTCTCCTTCAAAAACTTCCTAACCACCTCCATCAATAGAGGCACTTGTCTCACCCACTTTCAAATGTCTGGGTTGGCAAAGAAGGAGAAATTTGCAAATACCATTTAAGTGGCCAGATCCAGCTTATAAATCCAGTTTATAAATCCAGCTATTTGCTCTTTTTTATCACACATCTTTAAGAATGCATGGGAAAGAGTGGATACCAAAAGCATTTTCTTTCCCAAAATGTAAAGTTGTGAAGCTTCCCAAAGGAGCATCCTTCTTCTCCTGATATCCTTGAATTGGCCCCATCTTTTCCAGAGACATCAACAGCCTTCCAGTAATGTCACTTCTGACCTTCCAGCTGGTTAGGGGAGCAAGCGGTAGCCCCCCACTCAAGGACCAAGCTGTATATATAGGTTATGTGGATAAAGGACATTTCCTGTCACTGGAATCCTCTCCCCAGAGTAAGGAGATTTTAGTGCTGGTCTATTTTTTTAAATACCACTAGTGAACTTACAGTATTTTATCTACAACACTGATTTTTTTGTTATAGTATTGTATGATTTTATGGGGTCTCCTGCTACTTGTCCTACAATTTTTGAATTCTAAGGTTGGTTGTAAAAAATAAATATAGATAAAATAAAAGCAATCAGAAGACTGGACCAAAACATTTTGTACTCCAATAATAGGAGGACATGTTTGCCCCTGACCATCAAAACAAATGGGAGATACTGCAAGGAGTTTGTTTCCTCCCCACCCTATTAAAAAGAAGAAAGAAAGAAAGAAAAAGAACCAGTGGTTGTGGGGCCGATTAATGAATCAGCAGGCAGCCAGTACTACTAGATATTAATATGCCTTCCTTGATGCCCAACAGGTGCTCTGTTCCACTTGACATTCTTTGTTGTTTCATATTCCTATGATTTAAAAATAATTTAAGGGGAAGCTATCCTTCTGAAAAGGGAAGCATTTTTAGAAGAGAAAAATGGTAGATAGCTTCAGCCCAGGACTTTCTTTGAAGCATGTCCAGGAAAAGGGTAAAGTAAGCTGGAGGGGGTGGGAGGAAGCCCCTCTGGAATTAGAGAAGATCTAGCAAGGAGCCATCTTGCTAGTTTACCTTTTCTGATTCTTGGTGGGCACCACTGGATGCAGTTTTCTTAGCAATAGTATGGAAATAAAAATACGTGACTGCCTTCTTCTGGGATTTTCTGATGGTTTCCCAATTAAGCACTAATATAAGAAGTGAAGCTGGCAGGGCAGAAACCAGTGATTCCCAGATCAGGCAGAACAGTTATATGAACATGAAACAGATAGCTACAACACTGAAGCCCAAGAAGAGTCAAGAACCCATTGGCTCAGAACAACAGAGGAAAAGGTCTAGGATTGAAAGCCTGGGAATGACATATATATGGCTTGATTTCCATGTTCTGGAGTGGGCAGATCTTCTACACATATATGACGTCTTTCTTTTCTGCAGTGAAGCAACTTATCTATCAATGTCAAGTATGTTAAGCTTCAGTTGTTTACTGAAAATGGAGCTGAGTTCCTGGAAATTGATTGCCATGCCTGGTCTGTTGACTACCTAGGCTCCAACCCTGTTTCCAAGACCAGACAAGGTAAGCCAACTGCTGCCACCTGCTGAGACAGTTTCCCTCATAGCAAATGGATATTTTCTAATTAGTCATGCCATCCTAACAGTCATTTGCTGAGAATGTACACAACAGTTTTTTCGAACCTCTAAATGTACACACTGGTCCCAAAAGTTTATCTACTGCAATCAGCAATGCCTCCATCCATCAGCCACCTCTTTCTCTCCCTAGAAACCACCTTGAACATCATCTATGTCCTCTCATCTAAAGAGAAGACATAAATATAATAGGACCTTTCTGCCAAATTTCTCCTGCATCAACTTTCATCTACTAAA